CCTGTATCATACACTTCGAGAATCCCAGCCCTTATAAATACTCTATTTTGTGAATGTTGATTTATTGAAAAATAACGGCGGCCATTTGTTTGCACTGGTTCAGTCAAAGCAGGTCACGGATCTGGAGCTAAAAATGGGAACTAAGAAAATATCTTTGGTAAATCATTTGGTTACAAATTTTGGAAACCCTCATTATGTACCTAATCCGCTGCTTTTAAAAATGTTCAGTTTCGGTTCAGTATAAAAAGGATCTGATTTAGACTCTATAATATAAGTTTTATTATATTGCGCAAAAATTGAAAGTTTACGTTTTAATAAAAAAAATTGGTTTTTATAAATTATATTATCGTCTGCCTTATATTTTAGTAATTTTGAAATATTACATTTTAAACGACAAGTTCCTTTTTATATTTTATATAATATTTAATTTAATTTACATATAATTAAACAATTAGGAAGGGGTTTTTACCTCTTCTTATCTGGGTAGCAAGGTTTTGTCAGATTCTACCTACATGCAAAAATGCATATAAAAAGTATTAAAAACCCAGATGTTTTTTGGATTCTAACGCCAAGTGGTAATTTAAGCAATTTGCACGATACCATTTGAAATGAATTATTTGCTCTTGCAACGCATCGTTTGAAACGCTCAATTTGCTCTTACTATTATTATGTCATAAAGCGTGCATTTTGACAATCGAAATTTTTAAAAAATAATTACTTACATTAGAAAAAATAAACAAATAATAAGAATTTTGTAAAAAAAAAGAAAAGAATAATAGTGTCAATAGAACGTTTGAGAAATTTTATTGTTCATCAATTTACTTATATATACCGTTTCATAAAATTTTAAAGGCATATTTACCTTTAAGGTGAAAATCGTGAAAAACGAATTAAATATTGATATATAGCTAAAATAATTACCAGATTTGGGGGAAAATATTTCCATATTTTTTAATTTATTTTTTACAAGTTAAATAATTTTATTTACAAACGAATTAGAAAATATGTGAATGTTTCGAATTAAATCTGCACAACACTGTAGAAGGGAAGTTACACTATTACATTCTTATATTCTTCTCTTTTTCTTTTTTTTTATAAAAATTTCTTCTATTCTTTTTAAACAAAAAAGGTAAATATTGTAATTTTATTACGAAATTATAAGAAAGGAGTAAAGTATTTGTTATAAATTAAATGCATTTTGTTTATATTTTAAGAAATATAAATATTTCATTTAATAAAATTTTTATCCCAATACCATTTACGTTTTTTTTAAATATGTTTTTTTCGCACCTTTTTGAATTAACATATTGAATTTTTTTTTTAAATATATTTTTAAAAAATCATTTAATTCATTTTTGATTTTCTTATCTTGTGGATCATTCAGGAATTCCTTATTATTTGATGATGAAAGTAAATGTAATAAATAATTAAGAAAGTAAGATAAAAAAAGGAAGTAATAAATAAAGAAATTGAACACGTCCTTTCTCGGATCTTGTGTCTTTAACTTCCAGTTCATGGCATAAGGTCCTGGAAAGTGTATTACCCTGAAAAATGGAAGGGGGGGGGGGGTTATACAAAATTTAAAAAAGCATCTTATCCGGATACAATTTTTTGAAAATTTGCCCTATCCTGGACGAAATTCAAAATTTTAATTAAAATCCCTGTGAATATTTAATTAATTCCTAATATTTGAAAATCTTTAGAGGAAAATTCATTATTCATATAAAAGAAAATCATATCCATAAATCATAATTGAAGGCCATATCCTCAATAAATTTGAAATTGTCTAGCCAAACGAGATGAGGTGGGGCAGTCATTATGATAATGATATTATAAGGTGACTTTGCAAGAAATGGCTCAGAACTTTTTTTGAAAGAGAAAAACGCTTACAAATTCTTGATGAGGATCTCCGGTTAACTCTTGAAAATATTTGTAACATTATTTCCAATTTATGCCCAGATTTACATATTAGAAAGTGATAAATGAATATAACAATTACCGATCATTTTCTATTGTTCCAGCATCAATAAAAACAAGTATGAATTTTCATTTTCTTGGCGAAAGTGATCAGAAATTTATATTACAGCAAGTGAAAAAATGCAAAGAGTTTTGTTGTCAGGATATTCATTTCGTGGCAAACATATTATTCTCGTTTCAATAACTTTGAACTAATTAATGGTGAGCTATCATCTGGCATGACTGCAGTCATTGCTCTAATCGCAGAATTCAATCCTGATATCGGAGTTGTTAGCCAATCGCATTATATCGATCAAAGAGAGATTTTTGAGAAAATTTAGAATATGCTAACTGCATAGATGTTCAACCTCTGATATGGTGTATACTTTGTTTGCATCAACCTATAAGTATGATACTATAAAACTTTTTTTGGTCTTATTTTGGAAGAACTCATTACAAAAATCGTAATAGACTTAGCAATAGACATGTGGCAAAATTGATTTACATAAAACGCAATTTATTTACAAGATAAAAAAAAAATTAAAATTATAATATAGCATCAATAGAGAATAATACCATAATAGCAAAAGCACATAGGTTGAACTCCTCATTCTATGATTAATTAATTTTACTTATATATCGATCATTAGAATTTCAAATATTAAATAAAAGTTTATGCAACAAAAATTAATAAGACTTCTTTTTTAGTTTTTACTTTATTTAATAGCCTGAAAAAAATTGTCAAATTTTTTGATTAGCCAATTTTGGACATTTTTGCAAAGTTCCTCCCCTACGATTTCCCGAAATTCCCCGAAAATTCCTGATATACCAGGGAATTTTATGCCTTGCCTCATTCATTGTAAACCTAATTTATTTAATTGAATTACTTTTATTAAATATAAAGTTGTAAGGGGAAGAAGAGCGCTGCTTCTATAAATAGTCTAACGTTTTTTTATTTTTTTAAATCTATCTTATTTACTTTTTTTTAGATCTTCTTATTGACAAATATACCCTAAAATATATTAAAAAATTTAATTTATCTGATTTGGAAAACAAATTTTGTAAATTAAACGAATCTTCAATCTGAGAGACTAAAAATATGACGCCACATTTAATTTAATTAGGTGTTGCATAACTTATTTGGGAACAAATTTCTGAAACATTTTACAAATTAAAAAATACAGAAGCTAAAAAATATTATGATTGACTTACAAACGCAATTTATTTAATTGAATTACCTTAATGAATCAATAACTCTTTTTTTAGATATAAAATTACAAAGGAGGGGGGGGGGCTGCTTTTATAATTAGTCTAACCTATTACTCTATTTGAAAATCCTTCAATTCAAGGAATGTTTAACTGAAGAAAATATTTTAATTGGATGAAATATTTAAAACATAAAATGTATCAGAAGTAAGGAGGGAGTAGGAAAGTTACAGAGATATGGGTTGAAAGTATTTTAAGGTTTGAGAGATATGTGTTGTTAAGGTTTAGATTGGTTTTCAATAAAATTTAATCCTTTGTATTAATAATCAAATCTGATAGGAGACCTATATATTTTTTAATAAATCAGCTGTTGTAACGGCAGTTTCTTTGAATTGGACATAAAAAGATTATACTTTAATGGAAATTTTTTTAAAAATATTTATCAATATATTTCAGAGACCTGTGAAAGCCAAATTAATAGAACTGGTTCAAATTTTTAAAGGAATCTCCTCAAGCCCAAATTGATCGAAATTTTTATTTTTTAAATTCTTGTATCGAGTTTTTCTATTTGCAGAACTCGGCTAGGTATTTTTAAATTTCGATAATTTAAACACAGACTTGGTCGGGATTTTTTTAACATTGATAAATTTCGCTGTAATTCTAATGGCTTCAATGGGAAATCGGAAATCTAAGCAGCTAAAAAAAAAATACCAGCTGGATCGCATTCTGAGCTTTTACTTGTATATCTTTTTTTGATATCTTTTACATCTTTCTTCCTTCAGAATTCATATTAGTCATTAGAAATGAAACGAATCTCAAAATTTTGCCTGTTTAAATGACCAATTATCAAATTATTGTTAGTAAAAAAAATATATAAGTTTATCTAATAAATGATTCAAATTATAAGTTACACAATAATGAATAAAGAATCTTATTTTTTTTCATAATTATGCGGACCAAAAACTAACCTGAGGTAAAAAAAGAAGAATGAAAGTAAGAAAGAAAGAAAGATATTCTTGTTAATGTGACAAATATTTTATTGTAATAAAATGACGAGTCAATATCGTAACATAAGCGTTGCATCCATTTATCTTGTAAATTAACAAAAAGAAGATGGGATATAATTTAATATTTTTTTTTCGATCGAGAAAATAATATAGATTTTTTTGTAAATTTAATAATTTATTATATCTATTTTATATAACACCTAATTTATTTTGCATAATTATGATTATAATATTGACTTATGAATTGTTCTTCTCTTCCCCGGGTTTTGATTTGATTGAGTTTTATTTAAATGCATAATATTATAATGAGTTTTATTCAAAAGATCTGTGTTTTGGAAATTAATTATTATTTTTATAATAATAAAAAAATATGTATAAATAAATATACAGATTTATTTTGATAGTTTAAAAATTAAATATTCTTTCAAGTGAGGGGAAAGTGAGGAGAGGGAGAGGGGTGGAAACATAAGATCAATGAGTGAGGATCAATGAATGTCATTCCTAAAATTCCACTTTTTTTGATTCCTTATTTTGATTTGCAATATTTATAAATTATATTATATAATTATGAATGTGAAGTTAGGCATAAGAAGGAACTTGAAAAATAAGATTTTAAATAATTTATTACATTTTCCTTCACGTTTTTCAAATTCTTGTTAAGCAAGGTTGGAAAAAATAAATAAACAGGTTAACATAAAAAAATATCATTACAATATTTGTATATTATTTTAAAATACAAAATGAAATGACTAATATTTTTATTATTTTGAAAAGGTGATAATTATTTAATAAATCTATCTTTAAAATTTTTCATAAAATTTGAGGTTTTAAATAAATTCCAAAAACTTTTATAATTGGTAATAAAATTTATTACCTTGCCAAGTCTAAAAAATCGCTTATTGGATAATAAAAAAAAATAGATATACAAAATGGACTTATTTTGGCAGACAAATATTGTGACAAAAGTAATTTTTAAAATAATTATATATGGAAAATGGAAAATGGAAATTTTTATGAAATACTAATCATTTTTTAGCATTATATTTATTTCTTTCCACTTTAGGGCTAGATATAATTATAAAAATTGATACTAGAGGGCACTTATTAAGTCACCTCGTATTGGAATAAAACATATATTCATGCAAAAAAGAAATTAAAATACCACGAAAAACATGAATGATAAAATATCGATTTTATTTGTCATAGAAAGAAATTATATAGGTATTAGGTAAGGACGAATAAAAAATTGAAAATAATTTTTTTTGGTTTACAATAAATAATGAATGATTCGTAATAATTTGTATTTGTAGTATATTTGTAATAATCTATTTGAATATTTGTAATATATAAAAAAGAGGCATTCTGACATTTCTGAAGCGTCATATATCGCCTATAACTACTACAACGTCACCAGAAGTTAGAATTATCTAACTGCAGAAATGGGTGAAAATAAAGATGGCAATAAAAATAGGATTAATGACACAAATTCTGATGAAGACTTGGAGATTGTAAATCAATTCTTCAAGATTTTGATTTGGGTCTTACTCATGTTACTCATTTTTCTGAAATGGATATTCGTATCTTCAACTTCTATAGGAGGTGCTCTGTATTACTACAGCCTATGTTCTATTTCTTCCAACAAAAATAATAATAAAATGCCAAAAAATCAACCGAAATTATCTGTGGATTCGAAAGAAACTGATTATTCTAAGTCAAATCAGAATCCTAGTGTCAACACCGGTGATAAATACAATAATACACTATTTCGTCCTAATATTCATATCGATCTCGAGGGAAAAAATAGTCTCCTACTGTTGAAAGAGAAGGTTCTACTGGCTAAAAATACAAACGGATCTCGATCATACAAAGAGTATGAGAGTCATGATTCTTCGCTTAGCAAGGGTAAAAATAACGATGTCACGACATTGATAGATCCTGATTTGCCCCAAAAGACATTGATGAGACTCGTTTACGATGAAGATGATAATGATATATTGGACAGAAAGAAACCCGAAATTAGCTGGGGAAAATCGCTAAGAAATGATACAAGGGGTATAAAATTACCCAAATTCTCGGATCTGATTACTTCCTCAAATACTTTAGACACTTCAATCATTTTTAACGATTATGAAGAGGTCGACAAGAATTCCCAGCGAAGGGAAGACGATATTCCCATAGTGCCTACCCGTTTAACTGCCCATGATATGATGAGGAATTATTACGAAGAGTTCAATCCGCTTTCTAAATCGCGATCATTTATCTCCCCTAAGGGTGTTTTCAGGCCTATCAATTCAAAACCGGTCTCATATTTTATTCCTTTTAACGAACTTTCAGTTTTCTCTGGAGTCAGATCCGAACCATTAACGTTTAATACCGAAGATCAACTTTTAGTAGATAACAAACCAAGTATATATATCTAATTTATATTTTTTGTATAGTATTTTTACAATCTGGTTTAATGCCTTTTAAACTCTGCTATTGATAAAGATCAACTAAAAGGATTTTGGAATAAATTAAATAGATTTATAATAAAGTTGAAATAGCTAGATCTGGAACTTATAGAATTAGTGGAATGAATTTAAAACTAACTTATATTTATTATAGATTTATTTTTTTTAAAAAAGTTTCTTATTATCGTTAGCGTTAATAGACTTTAATAGGTATAGTATTATTTTTTTAGTGCAACCAATTAATTTAATTTTTTTTAAAAAAAGCTAATTTAAAACAAATCCAGGCTCAATTTCATTCTAATACCTATTTTAAATTATCCTGCATAGGTTTCTTGTTTTTATAGTCACACCTAGTGTTCTCAAACGGCTCGATTTGAGCCTATTTTTTAAAAACAGCCATCTCAATATTTTATCCAGAAAAATATCAAGCAAGCCTGAAGATTTTGCTCATAGATGGCACAAAGGTCTAGACATCTATTAGCTAAATCTCGAAGCATAGGCAATATTTACTGGCTAAAATATTGAGTTAACCGTTTTTAAAAATCGGCTTAAATAGATCAGATTCACTATATTTTTAATTTGATTATTATAAAAAACAACAAAGAATCGATTTTATTTTTACAAGGAATAAGTTAATTAAAAAAATATCGCCGGTTCATAAAATTCTACCTGCTTCATTTGAAAAACTTAATTTTTCTTTTAAATAATATAATAAAACAATTTTTAAAGCTGTTAAAAAATAGTAACCTTGAAACATTTCGTAAATCATAAAGTTGGAAAAAGTTTGATTTTTTAATTGTATAAATCCTTAAAATCCACAACCCTTTTGAAATTTATTTTAGCCAACATCGTCGAAATTGAATATACAATACAATTAGATTTTTTTTTCTCAAATTTTTAACGAGCTATTTATCATATAGACACCCACTCCCTTCAATTTTATATATTTTGACAATAAAAATAAATTCCTTCTGGAAATTTTCAAAATAAAATTAAAAATACAATTTTAGGTATATAAGTTATAAAATAAAATTAAAAAAGTTATAATAATTAAAATGTTTTCTAACATTTATGTTACCGCTCAATTTAAGCCGATTTTTAAAAATGGCTAACTCAGTATTTTCTCCATAAAGGTATTGCCTAAGCTACGAAATTTCGCTAACCAGGTATCTAAACTTTTATGCCATTTATGTGCAAAATCTTCAGGCTTGCGTAATATTTTTCAGGTTAAAATTCGGGATATCTGTTTTTAAAAATCGGCTCAAATCGAGCCATTTAACAACACAAATAACATCTTCTCTAGTTGAGAATCAGGGCTGTAATAGAGAACAGAATTTTTGGGCCCGGATGCTTCTAAATAAAATATCCCCACGAAATTTTTAGTAGCAATTTATATGATTGCAATTATTAATTAAATTTTTTTAAAATCAATTCATAATACAGTAAATGGTAAGGTTTATCAATTATGATGGGTTATATTTAAATAATTTAGGCCAATCCCATTGGAGACTTTTGAAAAATCAGCAGTTAGGGGTAGGAACCCCAACCAAAACCGACCCATTTAAAAGTTCTCCCAACCTGGAATCGGCTTTAGAGAACGGCTATTCATATGACTATTGTTCAAAATGTTGTGTGATTCTTGCGATTTTTTTTCTTTCCCTTGTTTATTAAAGAGTTTAAAACCGCGGAACCTGGAACTTTTGGAACTGCGTCAAAGAATCTTTTTTCTTTTTAAAAGTATTTAGTTTAGAATCGGCCGACATCTTTTTTTGGCTCAGGTTTCAAAATTCGATGCCATGCTAAAACTTAATTCTTATATTTTTTAAAATCTTTATTATGCTATTTTTTCATTTTATAAATATTCGGTATTATTAAGTCTAATATGATCATCAATTTAAAAAAATAATTTATTCTTATCTAACAATTCATCTTTTAATGATATAAATAAAATGTGATACCTAGAAATTAATGCTTTGAGGCGATTATGTTTTTTATCCAAAATATCACATTACTACGATAATATTTTTGAAATTAGAAAAGAACATATTGTTGTAATATATTAAAATAATATGTATTTGAGATAGATTATTCTCTTATATTATATAATAAATGCCTTTGAATTATTAATTAACAAATCTTCAATAATTATTTTTTTTAAGGAATATTTATGAATGACCAGTGGTGTAAACTAACGTCACATTTGTTACTTATCTTTGGAAAGTAACTAGTATATAGTAAGTGCAAAATTAGTTAAAAATTAATATTATTTTAATTAATAATTAATTTTAGACGAGTTTTGAGATCAAATAAAACGTCTAGATCTATCTTTAATGAATTACCAAAATTAAAATACTACTTTTTTAAGTATAACACTACTTTTTCATCGTCATCACTATTTAATTCTGACCCTTCCCCCCACTCACACCCCCCTAATTAATACAATTTGTAATTATACGCCATGTTTTTAAAAAAAGTAAAGTTAATAATTTTTAAAAAATGTAATATGGCCAAAGTTATTCAGATAGAGGATTTAAAAATATCCACAACAATTTGTGGAGATAAAAATTATTCCCAACCTACCCCTCCATTTAGAATAATATATTTTTTCTTTTTAAAAAAATATATCTGGGGAAAAAATACATGATAGTAAAAGTAATATCAAATGTTGTAAAAATCTCGATTTCGGCGTTTTTTTAAAAAAACGGTTAAAATCAAGATTTCGGCCATAAAAGTAATAATACATAAAGTCTCGATATTTGGACAAAATAAGTGTTAAATTAATCCATTATCTAAATGCTGAAAATTTGGATGAGGTGTCATTTTTAAAAAAAAGGAGTATAAGGTTACTATTGCTTATTTTTTTTCTGGTAAGTAACTAGAAAATAAAGAATTTAACATTATTTATAGAGTAACGTTTATAGTATACTGCTTATGATTATATATTAAATTTGTCAAAAAATTTTAACACGTCCACAATCAGTGTCACCGCGCTTAAATTATCAAAATTTTTAGGTTCCATTCATTTCAGAGTGCCATTAAATTTTTGGTATTTCTTTGCAAATGAATCTATATATATATTTGAGATGAGATAAATAAATAAAATTTATTAGTAATATTTGCTCACCTTGATATTTTTTATTATTTCCATTTTATTTTTATTGATTATTTTGGCAAATTATATTCAAAACGTGTTTGTTGTTCACAATTATATTCCATTTTTAAACGGATTTTTTTTGTTCAATTATTGTTGTATATTCTTCATTTGAATTAACGCCCCCCCCCATCCCCTCCCTATTATTAAAACATTAAATGTATTGTCATAACCAACTGGAATACAATTTTTAATTCTGGAATTTTTTTTTCTCTTTCCTAAAAACCATCTTTGATTTAGGCAATTGATATTCTAGAGACATGGAAAACACGGCGTGGCGGAAACTTTATCAATAGAAATATAGGCCCGGCCTATGACCCAAAAAATATCAATTTCATATTCCATTCTTATTTTTCCTTTTTTTTGCAATCAGGAGGTGAGAAATTTTTATACTATTCATTTGCCTATCATATTTCGTTTGAAATAAATAGATAAACATTAAAATATAGAATAATTTAAGATTTCTTCCCTATAAAATTTTTTTAAAATTCAAGCCGCTAGATTATAGATTTTAAGAGAATTTGTCACCGGCAGGTGACTGAAAAAATAGAATCTTAGGGTCTCTAACGATATTTATTTTTAACATTCTCTTTTACTTATCACAGCCAGAAAAGTATAATATTCAATAATAATGAAGCAAGTGTTTGTTGCAATTGTTGGTGTAAAAAAAAGAAGCTTTTTACAATGATTATTAATTAAATTATATTAATTTGACTTATGATTGAATTCGTAATTTTTCGCGATTTTCATTTTATAGGTATAAATTATTATATTATAACACATAATTTTTTTTATTAATATTGCAAATCTTAAGGAAATCTGTCAGATTATGATGCTATTTCGACAAAGAAAAATCAATATACAATAAACAGAATTTTTCAAATTATTTACCTTGTAATATATTTATAATTAAATATAATTAAAATTTAATATTTTATTGATACGAAATGAAAAATCATTAAAAAAAGGTTTAATAAATTTTAATTTTATAAATTATAAAATCAAATTTTTTTTAAAAAAAATCTTAAGGAGAAAAATAATTAAATTTTACATTTGAAGGTCCATCGACAAAATATATTTATAATTATTTTTTAAAAAAATGGAAGATCTCAATTTAAAATAGCCATTTTCCTTTTGACTTTTTTTAGAGATAGATAAAGATAAATATGTTCATATTATTACTATTCAAATTTGGTTGTGGATACCATTTAAGGCAATTTTCTTTTCAAACATTTATTTAAAATTTAAACCTAATAATATTTATAAAGTAACATATTTAGCTTGGCAGAAATTCTAAAATCATTATAAAATTGGATACTAGAACTATTCCTATGATTCCTCAAAGAAAAAGTAAAATATATTTTAAAAAAATTGAAAAAAAAAGAAATTTGTCACATATATTGCTAACTGCCTCAGAAATCTGAATGAAAAAATTCATTCGATTTCACATAATCTCATTTTGACTACCACTGTTCTTTATCATTTAAGTACATTATATGTTGCATTTTAATTATATCCAGTATCCCTTTTAATGTAATATCTTTTTTGTATATATTTATAAACACTGGGAGGGGGGGGGGGGTTAATTAGGCCCATACAAACATTGGGGAATAGAGTTGGAAAACCTATTTTTTTAAATAGTTCAAAAATAAACTATCCCAATTAAAATATATTATAATAATATACAAAAAATATAAATATATTATTATAAATGTGGTATGGAATAAATTTGTTCTCAGGGATGAAGATACATTTTGAATGGGGGGGGGGGTTCTCCTCTGCATCATAGATAGACTATTACAGTG